TTTTTTTTTTTGTTTTTTTTAAGTTGTTTCCCCTTCTGCTACACAGCTGACTTCAATGAATGGATAATTAACGGCCTTTACAGCACTTGATGACACGCAGGAGCAAATGCGATTATTTGAAGCAGATGTGCTGGAGAAGAGATGCATCTAAAGTGTGCAGGGCAGTGGCCCCTGACAGCCAGGAATGAGAAACACTGAGCTTGAGTTGCATAGCTTTGCATCAACTTTGTCCAGTAGAGGGCGTGTGTGAGATTCCAGCAAAATATGTCTCACTGAATTAAAGGAACAGTTCAGTTATTCCGAAACACCTTTTTAATAGGGCATTTATAGGAAGTGAGTATCTTGTATTTTAGGTGTGGAAGATAAATTAAAGTGGATAAATAACCGTATGATGTCAATCCAGACCAAGGCTGCACAGCAGTTCAGTTAGTTTCACAACTGTAGGAATGGGGTTTGGTTTTTATATTTCCCAAATCCTTAGAGCAGTTTACCTACTAATGTTAAAGAAGTTACTTCACTAATCAGTAAAAAACAATTGAACAAACAAAAGAAATAAATTACTGTTCAGATAGTGAGCACACTGAACTGTACTGAAATGGAATATTTCATGATTTTTGGACTGAGTGTTTACACAGCCTTTTAAAGGAAAAGCATACGTGTCTCAGTGAAGTGTTAACACTGATGTATTTCAAGCAGTTTCAGAAATGACTTCCTTTTTACTATTTTTTTTTAATCTTACTTATCTTAAACACACACCAATTCATTTCTACAGATGTTTTTCTTCTTTAGGTTGACTGAGAGCTAAAGGCCTTCTGTCTGAGGCATCATGGCAAGCTTGACTTGGTTTTGAAACCCACAAGATACCAGAACCCTTGAAGTAAAAACACAAGCCTACACAACCCAAAACCCACACAGAGCCAATGTCACGGAGGAAGACTCTGAGGAAGACTTTGGGAGGTCCTGTGACTACACAGCATATGACATAACCTGTTTAAAGGGACAGAGTAAATATTACATCTGAAAGGTGGTTTCTGTCATATTTAGATTTATTTTAGTGCATTTAGGGGGCCCCTGGTTCTCAGAGTCATCAGCAGCTGCATAACTTCCAGCAGGGTGCCACAACACTCTAAGCATGTTACTTTGCAACCTTTGCTGAGAAACACCTGGATGAAACTGTGTCCAAGTTCCCTTGT